CTCCTGCCCCCTGGTGGTTGAGGGAGAGCAGTGTCCCAGCCTCCAAGGCTGGAGGTGTAGCACCTTGAAGAGGGAGAAGCTAAGGGTACAGTTGCAGCGCCCGACCGTGGGCATTATACAACCACAGGGCTGGAGAGGATGTAGGTCATCTAAGCAACTGCTGTCGCCTGACAGATGAGAAAACTGAAGCCCCGAGAGGGGCAAGGCCTCACAGTGTCACAAAGCCAGCTGGTGACTCCCAGCCCAGTCATCATCCTATTCTGCCTCAACCAATGAAATGCTCTCTGAGCAGGAAGAGGAAGCAAAACAACTAGGGGAAGAGTTCAAACAGAAAATCACACTTCCCAGGAGACCAGCTTCTTCAGGCCAAGGACAGGATGGGAGAGAGGTCATGGTGTTGGGTGAGGAGGCGGCCCCAACGCCAGCACGCACACACGTGCACATCTACACGCGCACACACAGGATACCTGATGCCCTTCCTCTAGAGTCTAGGCTGGTGACTGAGTGTGTGAGTGAGTGTGTATGTGTGTGTGAGACTGGCTCCCAGAGGTGTGGGAGCCCTGTGACAGGAACAAGACCCTCGACTGGGCACCCCTGCATAGTAGCTCTGCTTCCTGTCCAGGGCAGGTGGCAGGGACAGTGACCCACAATCGCCCCCATCACAGCAGGGCAGCTATGATGGGAGCTTGGGGTGGGGGGGGATGCAGGGCGCTAACCTAGACTATTTGCACTTCCTGGGGTTGAGAGGGAAAAGTGAGTTGAGCCTGGGACAGCCCAGCTGCCTGGCCGAGTGGGGGGCTCTCCCCAAGACTGAGGACAGCTTGCCTCACCCCTCTTTTCCTCTCAGCCCATCTTCCAGGGCTGGCAGCTCTTCAGCCATCCAAGGAGCCGCTGCCCTTGTTTTTGCGGCTGAGTGGGAAGGCCGACTTGCTCTGGGGCTGGGTCATCTTGCTGGCCAAGTAGATGAAAGGCTCCAGCAGGGAGCGGCGGTCAGCCACTGACACCTCCCACAGCTTGACCTTCTCTGACTTGGCCCAGTGCTGAGCCACATCAGGGTCTACACGCCGCTGCTCCTGTAGGTCACACTTGTTGCCGAGGACCACGATGGTGACCTGGGGAAGAGAGACAGAGTCGAGGCCTCTGGCTGTATCAGAGATCTCAGGAATGGGTGTGAGGGCCATCACAGGACCACCTCATCTCTTCCTGTATCAGAAACTGTGCATGGGGGAGAGGGAGATGGGTGCTTTTTCCTCTCCTTCCACTGTTCAAATTCTGGCCTCCATCTGGCTCCCCTCCAGGAGTTCCATTACAGGGCCTGTGTCACCCATGTCTGAGACTTACTAGCAATCAGTTAATTACTGGCTAAGTAACTGGCACACACACACACACACACACACCTCCTTCTTGTCCTTGGATTTGTCAATCTCCTTCTTAAGCAGCTCCACCCGCTGAAAGGACTCTCGGCTGTCTGTGCTGTAGACCAGGACATAGCCATCAGTGCAGGAAAAGCAGTGCCGGGGCAACTCGGCCCCATCTCGGAGCCCCCGGGTGTCGTAGAAACGCACCTGCTCCCGCACCCCCCGGTCGGTCTCAATGGAGCCCACATAGATGTCCTCCTGAGTTTCAATCATCTCAGAACCTAGGACAGAATGAGAACACTTGTTTCTGGGGAGGAAGGAGATGGGAAATATGAGTGACTGAGTATATTCTAACAGGCTAACCAGATAGGGAGAGGATGGAATGTCAGGGTTGAGGTGAGGGGGCCAGAGACTGCGAGTCCGGCAGGACTAGAATGGTTTGGGGAACAGATTTAACCCCACACAGATACCATGCTAAGCCCAGTGTGACTTGGGAGTTTTTCCTTCCTATCTCAGATATTGGGTTGCCTCTGTCCAGATTTCTTCAGTGCTGTAGGATTGAGATCACGATGTGAACTTGACTCTTTGGAGTGTAATAACCACTAGGAGCAGCTTTTAGTCTTTTCGTGTTGTGATCAAATCTTTCCCTCATTCTTCAATTTCTTCCACCATGCCCCACCCCCAGCAACACTCACCCACTACGTGGTTCCCGTATAGAAGCTGCTCCAGAATTGACGTTTTGCCCACAGATGCCTGGCCACACACGACCACCTTGCAGCTCTTCCCCATGCTTAGCCTTCAACCTTGAAGAACAGAAGCACAATGGGTGAGGAGGAATCAAAGCAGAAGGGAGACTTCCCTTAACTGAGGGCCCAAGTTCTGAACTGAATGCGAAAGCTTCAACAATTCAGCACGGTCCCCTACCCTAGTCAGGGTGTACTAAAGTGATACGTTTATGCCTACTACCGGACAGTGAGCCATCTCTTCTTCATCTTATTCCCAGTACACGGCCAGTAACTGGCACAGAGCAGGGGCTCAGGACATGTTGCTGTAAAGGAGAAAGAGAGTTGCTGGTTTAAAGGAACCACTCGCCAGGTTCCTTTCTGTGCCCAGGATGTGGAGGACCAGTTGCTGAAGGGAGCTCTGGTTCAGCTTCCTCTCTTTGGCCATGACCCCATGGAGATAAGCAGGAATGTTATTTTGTGTGACTCTTGTCTTATGCCACTCTTCTTGGGGAGACTGAGCAGTTAAGGAAAATTTACTTTTCTGTATGGCTTATCTGGACAACTAGTTCCCTCTAGTTCCCAGTGAAGTCTATGGCTAAAATGAAGAACATCATACAAGAAAGTGAAAGAATCTAAGAGAAAAATGCTTCGGAAAAGAGGAGATTTTGGCTGCCTTTGGACTGACAGACCCAGATGAGCAGGCACAGAAACCCCTTCTCCAAAGAGGTCCCAGAGACCTCCTCGAAGGCACCCCAAACACAGGCTTTCCAGAGGAAGCCCCAAAGATTCCCCAGAGAGCAGAGATCACGCCCCAAAGGGATCCTAAACAGAAGCCTCTCCAGAGGAAACTTTTGGTACAGAAACCCTCCCCGCAAAGGTCCCCATATAGCGAGCCCTGCAATTAAGCCATACCCCAAGAGGGTGCCAGACGGGCCTCCGGCACAGATTTCCCACCAATGGGCTCCCCAGAGGGAATCAGAATCCTGCCACATAAAGCGTCCCGGACACAGTCGTCGATCCAGGCCTCCCAGCTCCGTACCTCCCGGGGCCCTCGCAATAGCCCGGCCGGGCTCCCCGAGGCGCGCCAGGACCGCGGGTGGATCTTCCTCGGGGTCCGTCCAGGCTCCGTCTGGCCCCGCCCCGCAGCTTGCATCTCGCAAGACCAGTTCCGGCGGCGGAGGGCGGGCGCCGGTCGCACAGCGCCCCCAGAGGCTGGCGGGAAGATGACGGCCCGGACGTAGGCTGGTCGGTTGCCAGGGCACAGGGTTCTAGGCTCCCCGGACGTGCTGGGAGGTGTTCTGGGGTCTCAGATGCCCAAATTTTCGTCCTCTAAAGGCTACTACTGTACAATAACAATTTATTCAATCTTTTATTCATCCAATGTCTTCTGGGCGCCTACTCTGTGCCAGATGCAGGACCACGTGCAGAGAAACAGCGGACGAACTAGACTCGGTAGCTGCCCATTAGAACGTCACCAAGTAGAGGAGCTAGACATCTACACCAACGATTACAGCACAACATGGTGACAGCTATTACAGAGGTGCTATAGGAGCACAACCAACTGGCATTTAACTTGGGGGCAATGGGCATCACGTTCTCCGTGGAACCTTCCTGGAGCACATCATGTCAGTGCTGAGGTTTGAAGGGTATGGGAGGAAAGGGTGGAGGAGAGACAGCAAGAGTCATGGTATTTTCTGGAACTACAAGTATTTGGGTTCAGTGTTGCTGGTAGAAAGGAGCCAAATAATCAAAGGTCTTGTGTAGGCCAAAGAGATCAAACTGTATCTTAACAGCAGTGGAAAGCCATTGGTTGGTTTTATGCCAGCGAAGTGACATGATCAGTTTTTGCTTCTAAGAAGGTCACTCTGGTAGAAGAGTGAAGATTGGAGAGATGAAACTTGGAGTTAGTTAGGAAACTATAGTAGTATTAGTTAAAAAACAATGAGAGCCTAAATTGGGGTGGAAAGGAGAAAGATTTGGGAGACATTTGGTAGGCGAATCAACAAGACTTAGTGATGCAGGGAGTCTTAGATGCAGAGAACATGAAGTGGGAGGATGGTCAAAGACAGGTGCACCTCCTGCATTAGACTGTAGACTGTGAGCCACTGGCAGGCAGGGCAGATGGTCTGAGTCTGTCCCTTCCCAACCTATCACAGAGTAGGCACTTTGGAGAGGGTGTTGAATGACTGGCTGAATGAATGACTTTTCTCTTCCAACCCCCGAGCCTCTCCCATCCTCTGCTACCTGGTGGTAGGTGTGGTTTCAGCTCCCTCAGCACTGTGATAAGCAGGGACCATGCAAGCAGCCAGTGGACAATGGCACAAACGGTTTTACCAGAGAAGGGGGGTAAATTCTTTTTAAAGTCTCCACTTATTTCAGTACCTTTTGACTGTAAAAATTTAACCCCAGAAAACACCAATTTAATTTAAATCCACAAATATGATTTGTTCAGGTGAACGGAAATACAACGAAGATGATTAGGCTGTGTCCTTGCCCTCTCCTGAGTTCCCAATCCAGACTACATTCTGCAAGACAAGCGTGCTGAGCAGGGAGTTTATGTGAGGATTGGCAGCATTGGGAACACTATGGAGAAGGGACCTCACCCTGCGAGCTGCCTTATAAACTTCAGGGCAGGGTCTGGGGCCCCGTGCCACCCTTCCTAGGCTTAATGCTGAGATGGCACTCCCGGGCGGCTGACATGAAAGCAGTCTCATAAAAGGGTCAGCGTCATTAGGGTGATGAACCAGGTGGTAGTTGGGGATCCAGAGGGGATGAAAGGTACAGTGTGAAGACGCCCTGCGTTCCCCTGGCTTGGTTGGGCAGGGCTTCCAGGTGCCGATGAATGCTGGGGAAACTGGACTTAAAGTATCTCTTCTTGCCTTTCGTGGGAGGAAGCTGTAGACACACTCCAAGGTCGGGAAGGTAGCAGCGGGGGAGCTCCTCCCCTCTAGAGTCCTGGGTCATCGAGTCTCTAGCCAACTCACCCTCCCCTGAGCCTCACAGGAGACTCTTTGGGATTTGGAAGTTGTTATGGCAACGAGGCTCTCAAAATACTGAGGCAAACCAAAGACTAGAGCGGCGACACCCTCCTACACCCCTCCTTTCGACCCACGGGTAAAGTGGCGCCCCCTACGCACAGGAACCGTCCCTGGGCCCCCGCCCCGGCACGGAGACCTCTGTGGACCTCCGGGGCTGGGAGGCCGCTCTGGCCTCAAGCAGAGCCTCTCGCTGGTAGGCGGGCCCGAGGGAGCCCCTCTGGGCGCAGTGCCGCCGAACTGCTCGATGCTCCGACCGGAAGTGCTCTTCGCGGCCGGCCTCCCACCCGGCTCTCTGGTCCCGGCGGTAAGATGGCGGCTGCCGCGGAGTGCGATGTGGTAATGGCGGCGACCGAGCCAGAGCTGCTGGACGATGAGGAAGCGAAGAGGTAACTGAGTGGCAGGGTGGGAGAAGGGGCGAGCTTCAGCTCTGTGGCTCCAGGAACGCTGTTCTTGCTGTTGTGCAGCCCCTGTTGAGGGGATGCCCCGCCCTCCGAGCCCCCCCCACCAACACACACCAGCTGAGATCGAGTCCGGATGGACCCCCTGAAGGGGCGCTCTCGGAGGTCGGCCCTCCCCTGCCGCTTCCGCCTGACTGGGGAGCTGAGGCACTGCCTTGTTCACCAGCAGAGAGGAAGGTCGTCCTTATTGTAGAGGCCGGGTCTCTGAGGGGATCTCGGAGGTCTGTTGCGGAGTGGGGGAGGCGGCGCGGCGATGATGACGGCTTCTTACATCGCCCCTGACCCCCTCCTTCTCTTGTTAACTTCTGTACGGTGTTGTCTGTCAGCACTTTGCGTCTCCAAAGCCCTTGCTCTCCTCACCCCTTTTTCTCCATCATTATACCCCAGCGGACATTAGTCTGAGTCTGAGGTGATTGTTATGTTTTCATTATTGACCTGGTCGTGTCCCCCCTCCCCCGGTTACCCCAGAAGTCGAAGATGATAGAGAAAGAAGGGTGAGGGGCTTGTCTTGTGCTCTATACGTCAGACGCTCTCCTTCCATCCTTCCTAAGATCCTCATTTTCCCCAGGACTGTTTAAGTTAAGCAGCAAGGAGGAGGACAGCTGCTTGGGCGCTGTTGACGCTGCTGGGCAGCCGCAGTGGCTCGAGATCGCCAGTCTGGACTAGCCAAGGGAGCTGCTGAGTGAGTGGTTTTCGAGAACACTCTGGATTCTGGCTACAGCTAAGGCAGGTTATTGGAAGTGGGATTGGAACACAGTTGTAGGTAGTCATACTTGTCCTAATCCTGAAGCGAATTAACGAAACAGTTCTGGAAGTTTGCAGCCCTTTCTGTATCAGCTGCAGGTTAATTGACTACAGTTCCCTCAGTCTCCATCCCACGTATTTCATGTCTTTATACCAAGCCCACTGTGGCTTCAGTCTGGGTGATTTGAGGTGGTGATTAGTTCATGAGATCTAAAATCAGGATCCTGAGGGTTTGTTTTTGTTCTTGTTTTTGTTTACCATCCGAGTTTGAAACATAAGAGGTACTCAGTGGGTGCAGAAATAATAGTTGTCAAGCTTAAGGGTAGTTACTGCAGCTAGTGTCCCACGTTCTTGCCACTGGCTTACAAAGTGTAGTAGGTCCTGGGATATCAGAGAAGGCAAGAAACCAGAGTCAAACTCCGTTCTTAGTTTTGAGTTTTCACAAACTAGTTCTGTCCAGGCATATAGAATTAAGCATCATCAGCATTATTAAGGAACTGCAAAATGGGAAGTGAAACTCCTCCCAACGCAGACAGAGCCTAAATTAGTTGTAAGGATTTACTTTACCTGTGTTTGGAAGGAGTGCAAGTGGTTCTTTGTGCTATAAATAGGGACCGGGGCTATTTGTAATTTGAAATAAACTCACCCTACTCGGTATAAATCTCTGACATAGGGACGGTCCCTAATTTGGGTTTCGTTTCAGAGCCCTTATATAAAGTAAATCCTTTTCCTTAAAAAAACCTCACAGCCTTAGAGGATATTCTATCATAAAAAACATAAAACAGGTGAGCACATCACACAGTCACACAAAAACATGATATTTAGTAGCAGTATAACAGAATATTCAAGGGAGAATATTGACTTATGTTAACTGCCTTATTTCATGGAATTTATGATGTCATTGATTGTAAAATGCATGGTTGTTTTATCTACCACTAAGGAGAAAAAAACCTACGAATTTAACTATGAAAAATCCATCTTATAAAATACTTATATACTAAACATATTTATATAGGTTTCTTTTAGACATCATTAAACAAATGCTTATTATGTAGTAGTTATGTGAACAAATCAAAAAGAAAATATAGTGGAAAAAAAAGTCACAGTTTGACTTCCTGCCATATAAGGCGTCCCTAGGAAGGTAAACATTGGGCTCTGTTAGTAAGAAAAAGCCTTGTTTATGTGTAGCTTTCCAATGCTGAAAATTGGGTGGTGATTTAGAAGTTTTGGAGGAAGGTGGTTATACATTTTTCAGATATTCCGGAATCCTCCTTTGTAGCCCCAGCAGAGGGCAGGGATAGGCACATTTGCCCTTTACTATCTGACTTGGTTAGTCATTTGGCTAAGTTTGTGTCTCTCGTTACAGTGCTGCTACCAGTTCACTTGGGGACACGGGAGTTAATGGGTCTCTTGGGTTGTTTTTGTGAAGGCAAGCAAGGAGTCCTTCCTTGCATCTTGGCACAAAGGCAGGCATCCTGCTGCTGCTGCTGCTGCTGCTGCTACTGCTACTACTGCTGCTGCTCAACTATTACAGTCCCACTGGGGGCAAAATGAGAGGAGCTTTCAAGGCATCTCTAGAGAGAAAGAAGTGGACTTCAGTTTTTTTGCCTTTCACTCTGACAAAATTCTTTTTCCCTCATGGCAGCTGAGAGGCTAAAATAAAAGATGTATCGGTTGGCACTCCAAAATAGATCAGGGTTCTGTACATGAAGATTATTATTTCTCTTTGCTCACCAGAATAGATAAAACTGCTTGGGGAGCCAGAGAGCTAAATTTCAGAGGTTTTTACATTACGGTTTGTTTAAGGCCTTACATTTTCCTGGGAAGTTGCTGATTGCTTTGCCTAATATATGAATGCCTGTCTTGAGTGCAGGCTCTCTGGTCCCATTTCCTGGGTTCGGGAACAGTTTGGTCTCCGTAGGTGGTCTTTATGATGGTAAAATCAAAGGGTTTCAGGTTGCTCATCAGTAGAGGAAACACTTCTGTGGCTCAGCATATATACCTGGCATGACTGGACAGTGAGCTGTAAACCAACCTGAGCCATCAACTTAGGAGCCAGAACATCCTTACCTGATGCCTTGAGCTGATAGTCTTAACTTCTCAGCATCTGTTTACCTGATGGACGCAAGTAAGAACAATTATTATTAGACCCTTTCTTAGTCCTTAGGTATTGTAAACTCTTTGTGGATTTTGCCTTTTATTTCTCTGTCTGTATTCTTGGTGGGAAGCACTGAACCCAAAATCCATATCCCAGGGTCTGCTGTAGTTCTGTTTAATACAGCTTCTCAGGACGTTTTGGAGTTTGTGGTCTTAACTGAAGAGCTTGTGGGTATGGATGCCTTTCCTCCCCTCTTCTTCCTCACCCTGTTTCAAATTCTTAGGCATTTGACCCCCTAAACTTTCTCTCTCTTTTTTTTTAAATTGAGTTATAGTCAGTTTACAATGTTGTGTCATTTTCCTAAACTTTATCTTGAAGTTCCAGGGCAGGCAGCTAGAGAAAGCCTGCAAGCTGAATGGGAATTTATTTTTGATCTTGAACCCAAGTCAGTGATAAATACTGCTCTCAGGTTTCATTTTCATTTTCATTTTGGTGTACTTTAAGTGTTGGCTCAGAGATGAAGAAATGGGATGTGGGACAAAAAACATCATGATTAAGGAAGGGATAAACCTAGGAATACAGTCTTGAATACCAGCAAATTAATTGATTGAACCCTGACAGTAACAAGGGGAAAAATTATTAAATAATCATTGCTGGAGCAAAAGTAGAGTACAGAGAAAGGATCTCTCTGTTCCTTGCTGCGTTAGTACACATCCACATATTAACCAAAGCCAGGTAAATTGAGCAGTTTGAATGAAATGGCAGTTTCTCTGGTGTCTAGTTCATTTCCAACGACCAGAACTCTGATTGGCTTAAAGCCCAGCCTTATTGTACATTCCAGCCAATCAGGGATTGGTTTAGTTATTGAAGCTAGTATTTCAAGTTTTTAAAAGCTGAGTACTGGGCACTTGCCTTTGCTTTCTTTCTCTAGGACTTTAGAAGATTGGAGAACAGTGGTCGGCGGCTGCCTAGGTGCCTTGTGGTCTGATGCAAAGTCCCTCTGAGAGTCCATTTCTCCCTTACTCCACTAATGTTCTCCCTTTCTGCAGTGCTGAGTGATGTGGAAGTTACTTAGAGGTCGTTCCAGGTATTCTTTTAAACTGTCTGAATTTCAGCAGTAAGAACAGGAACATGAGAGAATGGTAACATGAGGAGGGATATTTGAATTTTAAAGCCTGATTCTGAGACCTAATATTCTGTCGGTACCTGACTTTGTGTGGAGAAGACAGATTGTGAAATATAAGTGTCAACTATCTCTTCTGATTGTAATTTAATATTAAGCTCTTGGGGGACGGTGTGTGACACAAGCAGGACCCTCTCTATATTGTTCGAATTTCTGTCCTGAGAGTTCTTCCTCAGGCAGTTTGCTCTGAGATGTCGACCCCCTGATGAACCGGGGAACCAGGAAAACTTCAGAAGCAAAATAACAGTTGATAGTAAACTCCTGACTCTGGTCCCCAACGCCAAAAAA